CCCCCACCGCCGCTCCCCCCAGTACCCTTTCGCAGGAGTGTCCAGCTGGGGGCGCTCCCAGCACTCAAGGAGCCCTGGTGCCCCTGGAGGAGCCGCCCCCCCCCCACAGGGACGCAGCGCTGACCCGGCCCGCTGCATGCTGAGCTGAGGCTTGTACCCCGACCGTTTGTCCTTGGAAGGCGTGGGGTTGTCACCGCTGTGCTGTCCCTTGACTGATAAGCGGAGCTCCTACAGAGCAGGCGCCCGGGCCAGGTCGTTCCGGGCGGAGTAGCCCGCTTCCGTCTGAAGTCCCATCCGCCTTCACACTGGGGCCCTGCACTCCTGCGCGGAGGAATGGTGACGCCGATGTTTGGAATATTTCAAATACCGGTCGGGAACAGGCTGTAAACAGAGAGGCGGCAGAGTGGGGGGAGGAGGAGGGAACGGGATGAGCCGCGGCCACTGGCACCTGTCCTCCCGGCCCATAGCCCAGCGCAGCCTCGGCCGGCCCCGGGGACACCAGAGCCACACACTTGGCAGGCTCAGCCCCAGAGCCAGGCAGCAGCTGCGGTCGGGGGATGGGGGGGGCAGAGCCGGCGCAGCAGAGCCCCCAGGCCTTTGATTTTTGGCACAAGGTGCACTTTGCACAGCACAGCAGTGCCAGGCCCTTGAGGACGAGTGTGCATGCCTGCTCGGAGACAGGTGGCTGCTGTGACACGACCACAAGGTATCACTTACTGCCCACAAACAGGTGCGGCCCAGCTCCTCTGCCCCAACTTTAGTAGCCACATCCCCAGGCGCCTGGCATCAGGTGCCATGGGGCAGGGCAGTGTCCGTAGGTCAACTCCTTGGACAGAGCCATCGGCCCCCGTGTCAGTGACAAGATGGCTGAGTGAATGTCCACACAGAGGGACCTGGCTCAGGGCAGCAAAGGGCCGTGAAGGAGTACGCTGTGCCAGGCTGGGACTGGCAGCTTGAGGCCAGCTTATCAGGGACAGGGACAACATGACACGGTTACGCCTGGTCTCTGTCCTGAGCTCTGCTTGCTGAGAGTGCATGGGACAGGCCCTGGATCTGCCAGCTCACAAAGTGACCCAGAAGACGTAGGTGCCCGAGGACAGACAGGCAGAACCAGGCTCTGGACCTGGCCTGGAGGGTGCACAGCCCCAGGCTCAGGGAGGGGCTCTCTTCCACCACCAAGTCCTCCATGCTGGGCCCACCACACAAGCCAGGTGCAGGTCTGCGTCCCATGCACAAAAAAGTGTCAAAGACCCAATCCTCCCCCAGTGAGGCCTGGCTCTGGGGAAGGCAATGTCATCCCTCCCAACAGTGTCACGGTGTGGCATTTGTCCCCTCAGGGCCCATGGTCCTCATGACCCATCTGGGTCCTGGCCCACTGGTATCATACCAGAACACACAGGTCCGATTCCCATCTTACAGAGCAGCATGACAGGGTGCGGGGATGGCATGCAACAGCCTGGGCTGCTAGCTGGCAGAGTGGCTGGACCCCAGGGCCTCTCCCTGTCCACCCGCCCCACGCCCACCTCCTGCTGCTGCCCCTTCTCAGAGCTTTGACTTCTTTGGCTGCCAAGGAGGAGGCTCGGGCCAGAGTGACCATGATCTTACTGCTTATGAAGTTCACTCTTTGCCAACCGCAGCCTGCACGGTGCCGCCCAATCCGTTCTCACCATGTCCCTGGAGCTCCAGTTGTAGATATAGGGACCCAGAGCACAGAGAGGACAAATAACTTCCCAGGGCCACAGAGCCAGTAAGCAGCAGGGTTCAAGATAAGGACACTAAGTGTGCTCTATTACACCCATCATCCCAGCCCTTGGGAGGCCGAAGCAGGAGGATCACCATGAGTTGGACACCTGAGCTACATAGTGAGACTATCTCAAAATAAAAGAAGTCACTACCTCTTCCCAACCCTCTGCCAGGCACAAGCTTACACGAAGAAAAGCTTCAGAGGTGTGGATCTGGTCAGCCCTATCCTGCCTTCTGGTCCTCTGGCATGGTGTGTTAAGGTGCCCTGCTAGGGTTCCAGGTCACCTGCACCTGTCCTGGGTGCCCCAGAGTGGCCCAACTCGCTCTCTGAGGATTGCTATCTTGTTACCCCTCAGGAACCAAGGCTAAGGCCTTGCGTTGCTCCTCCTGCCTCAGCCTCCCCATTGCTGGGGTTACAGGAGTGCACCACTGTGCCAGGCAGCAGCAGGCCTTGCCTGGTTTGCAAGCCGCCGGCCATCGCAAGGAGGCTAAGCGGGAGGGCCTTTAGTGTCTTAGTTGGAGCCGGGCTGAGTCCTAACCCTGCCTCCTTTCTGGCTGTGCACCTTGAGCAAGCGCCACACCTTTGGCCAGCGCCGTTTCTCACGGTCGCCATGACGGCAAGTTCTTGGGGCTGCTCCAGCGACAGAGGGCAGCAGCTTCTGGGGTTCTGGCTGCGTCCTGGGCTCAGCCACTTCATGACTCCTGGGTTCCAATCAGGATTTGTGGTGGCACAAAAGCATTGCTGCCACCCAGCTGAGGACCCCAGAAGGCGCAGGAAGAATCGCGCGGGTGCAAGCCAAGGCCAGGCCGCACCCCAGGAGCTGTGGTAGAGCTGCTGTTGCCCCAGGAGCGGTGGTAGAGATGCTGCTGCCCAGGGGCTGTGGTAGAGCTGCTGCTGCCCCAGGAGCGGTGGTAGAGCTGCTGCTGCCCCATGCCCCGCGCTCAGCTGGGAGCGCCTTGTGCCACCTGTGACCGCAGAGGAGCCCGGGTGGCTGCATCCAGCCCTGCTGGTGGCCAGGGCCTGGGTGAGAAATCGCCTGCTTTCTTGCAGCTTCTCTGGACCCACAGAATGAGCCCCCTCTCCTCAGGAAACAGCTCAGTACCTGAGGGGTCCAGGCCTGTCCCATCAGTGACAGGTGACCTCGTTGGACCCCGTAGGCAGCGACCACACCTATGTGATGCAATTGCCGTTAATGTTAATGAATCAGAGAGTGCCTTAGACTACCAGACAGCTGGCGCTTAGGGAGAAGTGTGGGTTTTTCCAGTCGGTGTGGTACCTCTAATCCTGGTACTCGGGAGGCGGAGGCAGGAGTATCCCAGGGATTAAGGACCAACCTGGCTTACATAGTGACAATCTCCCTCTAAAAAAAGTGGGATGAAAAAGGAAATGTGTTTTTCGTATGACAGACTGGCCATTAGGGATGGGCTAGGGGCCATGCCTCCTCTGTCTTATTGAGTCTCCCAGCTTAGAGCTGCTGCGGTCCCCGTGGTCCCCATGGCTCGGTGCTTCCTCTAACATTTCAGCCATCGGCACGCAGGGCACAGGCTAGGAGCAGAGAGCGGCCCTCCTGGGCTCAGGACTGTGAGGAGGTCACTGCCTGTCTTTCTCGTCAATGCATGGCTGTGCTGTCCCCCTCCACCTCCACACACCCTTTGGGGGCTGATGTGCAGTCTGGAGCCGCTCTGCAGGTCGGAGGCAGTGGGTGGGGCAGCCTGGCTCCCCCCCAACACAGCCTGTCCGGAAGGGTGTGCTGGGACACACTCGGGACACTGGTGACTGCAGGGTCCAGCTCACAGAGGGACTCACAGAGGGACTCCAGCACTCTGTGTTCTTCGCATTTAGTTTCAAGGCCGTCTCAGGTGCTGTGTGGGTGACGAAAGAGTCCAGGAGTCCAACCTGCAAAAGCTGATCACTACGTCCGTCCGGCTGCTGCTTCTCCCCAGCAGAGACAAGACGGCCTTCGAGCCAGGGCCTTCCCGGGGCTCATCTGTCTCCCCCTTCCTGGCCCCTGGCCTCTGGGCCCCCACTGCGGATTGTTAGCCTGGAACACTCAGCCAGCTCTGCACACACAAGGAGGATAACATGACCTCCTGTGTCGAATACACACACACAGAAGCACATACACAACACACACATACACACCCCTACAACATACACACATGCACACACAGAGGCACATACGGCACACACGCATGCACACACACACAACACACACATGCACACGCACACTGTTTCCCTGACTTCCCAGCATAGGTTCAACTAAATTTCAGCCAGATGGGTGTGTCCCCAGGTACATTTGTCCTTTCTCACTTTTCCTGCAGAGTGCTTGGGGGCCTCTGGGCGTGGGTTCCTGTCTTTCACTTGCAGCATTCCTTGTGTCCTGGGCTTCGCTGGAGCTCAGACTCGCTGCAGTCGCCGCTCTGTGGGGTTTGACTCCTGGAAGGGGCTTCGCAGTCTTCGCAGCCCAGGGCTATACTAGGGCTCAGGCCTGGGCCAGAGCAGTCATGGGGTCCCCTGCTTCCTGCAGGGCTGGCTGCTTCCTGTTTGTCCCGTGATGTACAGGACATCTGTCTGCACCTGAAGGAGCTCGGCCTGGTGGGGTACACCTGTAACCCCTGTACTCCGGGAGGTTGAGGCAGGAGGATTCCAGGTGAGAGCCCAGGCTGGGTAATGTAGCACGAGACCCCCTATCTCCAAACAATAGAAAGGGCCGAGGCCCTAACTCAGGCCCAAGGCTCTGGGTTCCACCCAGCCCTGCGCCCAGCAGCCAGGCCAGCAGCGCCCCTTCAGGAGGTCTGGCCTCCCCGGTCTTCACACTCCCCCAGCATTTATTTTTGCGAGACACGCAATACTCTCACTGTACAATATTTTTGTCCTGAAATAATAACTTGCTGAAGCCAAACGAACTTACGCGCCCCCTTCCTACTTTCAGGGCACCTTGTGGAAGCGCCAGGGACCAAAGCATTTATTCTGGGAGGTTCAACCCGGGTATCGGGTTCAGCTGCTGGCTGCGCCCTGCATTTGAACATCACAAGAGGAAACCTGCAGCCTTCAATAAATGAAAACAACCCGAACCAGATGCAGTGGTGTGGTGTCCACTGCAGGCACAAGCAGGCTCGTGGGCTCTCTGAACCAAACCTCCCGCAGCTAAAATTAGCCTCGGTCCCTCCAGGAGACTGGAGAACAGGTCCAGCCTGCTGCTTGGCCCTGGGCTGCACACACGCGAACCTCCCAAGCAGGGCCAGCTCTCAAGGTCTCTGTGACAGCTTCAGGTGTGGGGACAGAGCCGGGCTCTGTGTGGTGGGCCTGTGCTGGGGAGCAGGTCTCACTACAGTGGGAATCCTTCCTCTCTTTTTCCCTCCTTCCGTCTCCTTTCTTTCTCCCTCTCCCTCCTTCCCTCCGCCTTTTCTCTCCCCCTTCCCTTTCCTCCCTCCTTCCCCCTCCTTTCCTCTGTCCTCCTCCTCCCTCCCCCAGTCTTCCCTTCCTCTCTTCTTCCTTCCCTCCCTCCTTCCCTTCTTCTCTTGCCTTCCTCCATCTCTTAGTCCCTTCCCTTTGGGGGAAGCTCTCCCGGTGCCTCCCCCGCCTGCGCCTCCTCCCCTCCCCCCCCCCCACGCCTCCCCTGCCTGCGCCCCTCCCCCGCCTAAGCCCTGTGTTTCCCTTGGGCAC